GAGACGAGTACTTCAAACTGTAAACACAAAGCTTTAAATGCAGTAGCCTCCAAATTCATACTCTTGATGAACTGTAACTGAAAGCTCATTTAGCCAAGAAAGTCCAAGCTGACACAGGACTTTCTGCAGGCATTAAACATGACACAAATGTCTGATTCACTGGAAAAAAAAAATTACATATATTCTTTGATACACAATGTGAAAATATATTCATCCCCAACATTTTGCAAATACTCTAGAGTGGATCCTGTAATGTATTTATCTTCATCCAATGGTTTCACAAACTGTATAGATGAGGAAAGTCAGCGATTTGACTTAGAGTCTAAGGCAGGAGTGACCAAAGTCCAGTTCCAGCCACTGCTGGCTTATTGGGTCACTTTACATGTAATCCATCCCAGCTTAAAGGAGCCTCAGGCATTGAAGGTTTTCACCCAAGCATAGGCATCTAACTGAATACGAGCAGGATTACTTGACCAGTCCATTAGCTGAGCCCCTCGGAAGGTAGGGCCAGATTGGTCATCTTGTAAGGGGACCTCTCTCTTCCAACCTGCATCACACCTCCAGCATGGGGGTGTGCTGCCTGTGACATGTTAAAGAGGAGTGGTTCTAGCAGAGGACGCTACCGCTACCAACACGTCCTCTTTCTCCCCGTGTGCAGTCACAGGCACAACTGGCCAAAGCAAGTTTGGTATAACAAACTGGTAAACTAAATTTAAAAAAGGGAAAGATGGCAATTCAGTGAATAATTGAATTAAGTACTATAGTTGAATTAAGTACTTAAGAACAAAAAACAGAAGCATTTCTGTATTTGATAACTGTACTTTCAGCATCCCTTACCCAAGGGAAATAATTCTAGATCTATTTATTAGATTGCTCAAACAGCAGTAGAACTAGCACAGAAAGTATTGTTGAAGAGAATATCATGCATTTTATGAAGAGTATAAATTAACCTCTTCGACCTTAGAGCTTTACAAATGACCTTTTCAATTGGATAACAGATCACCGAGATGCATGCATGGTTTGGATTTTCTGTTATCCCAGTTTCTAGGGGAACATTTATGTTTTGAAGTGAAGAACACAGCTCACACAACACTGGAGGAGCTGGAGAGGACCTGCATGATGAAGCTGCCAAGTAGCTTACATTTAACAATCTTTTAAAAGACTAAAGGAACAGTTCCGTTTTCTCTTTCATGCTGTCAAAGGCAAGGCAGTGTTCAGTGCACAACGATCAAGGGTATGAACAAAATTTCAAAATCATGCATTAAGATATATCTATCTATCTAAGTATGCTTGGCAAAGGTCTTATTTGCACATACAATATTGAATGTCATCATGTCTTGTTATGATTCATGATTGGTATCAAATAATGTAAGAAACTTTTCATGCTAAATCAACCTCTTAAGTTCATCAAGAGTACAATCACATTTGGATGCTAGTGCATACATTTGATACAACAAGAGAGAAATGAGAAAATGTCATGCAAAGTCTGGCAAAGCTACTGGTAGATCTACTACTAAGCAATTTAATGTTCACCGCTAGAACACCAAAGTAAATGTTTAATGTTTCCTCCTGCCTAACCTTGTCATAGTCGTTTCTGTGTAAAAAATGCATTAACAGATATGTATTTCACAGAACCCTTAACAGAATAAAGAATGAAGAAGAGCTAAGAATCACACCTTACACTGGAACAGATGAAAAACAGAATTTGGCAGAGCGCATTTACAGTATGTTTACAGTTTACATTTTCTGACAGGTGATCAGGTACTCAGGATAGGCCTGTGTGTCGTTGAAAATGACAAACAAGCTGGGTGAGTCCATTGTGTCCACCACACTGTGGTATCGAAGGGGCATCTCGGTGTTTTCTTTCAGCGGAGCGGTCTTCATTTCATGCCTGCCCTTGGTGTAGTCACCCGTCAACACCTTCGCCACAAACACAAATTTGTGACCATCTGCGTTTGGGGGAGAGTACTGGTCCTGAACTGACAAGGCCGAGTCGACAGCAAAATAAACCCCTTGTCCGTACACAGTGGCTGTGAAAGGAAATGAAAGTAGAAAAAGTTACCAAAAAAACTCACAGAACCTTCAACACAAGCAGTTAGTTTCTGATCCCAACCTCCAAAACAAACACAAACATATTAAAAGAAAGATGGAAGAACTGTCATTTTACTGTTAGATATGGTCACCCCAGTAATCAAAAGAAAAGTAAGAGGAGTAAGAGACTTGTACCGTTCTTTCCACAGAAGCTCCTGTTGAAGCCATGAATGCTGATCTCCTTCACACTGGTTTCATTTGTACCGTGGTACAGAGTCCTTTCAACTTCTGGATCAGCAGCACTTTGGAGCATGCTAGCCTTTTTTAGTTTGTACTGGTTGTACAGCAGGCGGTTCGTGAGTTTCTCAACCTGTAGAAAGAACAGCATGAGATATTTTATAGCCTGAGCCATTTATTTCACACACAGAGCCAGAGACCTCATCCCTGTAGTGTACTTGAAGATGAAATATGCAAATATGTGCATTCACTCTGTGAACACCCACACTTACACACAGCCATTACTGTTATGAGTACAATTGCAAGCAGCTTATCTGTGTTGCAAGCAGAACAAAATTATAAAGCCATTAGTGCTTCCGTACTTTAGCATTATTTTTTTAAATTAAGAAATCAAGAATGGTTCTGACAGGCTGGGACCCTGTCTCTACCCTGACCCTAAAGGTGATGGTCATGTTTGTCCTGTGGATGACAAGGTAATCATCCACAGGTTCACATATTTGTCTTCACTTTAGTCCCAGTGATGGGTCACTCAACACACACACACACAACTGAAACCTAAACTAAAAATAAAAATGACAAAATCACAATTCCATACCTTTACAACCTTTATTTTGTTGTGGTATTCTCTAATGGTGTCGTAGAAGTCACTGACAACATCTTGGAATTCATCAGATTCCTTACAAACCACTGTTGCGTCAGGCAGGCTGGAGAGATTAGTCAGGTCCTCTTCTGTCAAGACAGCTCACAATTACATCTCTTAATGCAAAGGTGCACACATATCCAAAATGATTTTTTTTCCTACATGCAATAATAAGGTTTAATATATACTGATGACCCACATCAGTAAAGAAAACACTCTATTCAAATTCCCTCAATTTACTATGAGTAGTAATGGAAACTATCAATACTAAACACAAGACGTGCATTGTAAAAATGATTCTGTATTAGAAAACCACTAAAATAATATCTTATGGAGCAGGCTTAAGTGACAGAGTTCTGTATTTTCTTTTATAAACCCATATAAATTTCAAGGTGGCTGTCATTGAGAATAGTCATCCTTAAATATTCTACAATTTCCAAATTTGTAAAAAAAAAATGGAAAGTGATTCAATGAAATTCAAATTGTAGCTTTGAGAGAAAATGAAAATTTGAATTATTGGAACTTTCTTACTTTGCGTAACAGCTGTTGGAGCTGCAGACTGCAGCACAAAACATACTCTACTGCAAAAGCTGCATGTTTTACTACAATTTTAACTTCTAAGCTGATGCTACCTCTACTCGTTCAAGTTACAACTCAAGCCATATAATGTGATAACCAACATCGCCGTCCTCGGAAATTCGGAAAGGCTGTGTTCTTTACCGTACCTGGCAGATCTGAATACAAGTCCACATCGCTCAGTAACTTCCTTGCAATACGTACTGATTTCCCAGTGACAATGTTGTACTCCTCCATCTTTCCAAAGTCAATGGTGTAAGGCTGGCTATCGAACAAAATATCAATCCTTTTCTCCTTCATTTTCCAGGCATTCTCTATAAAGACATTGGCGCTGGGGGGATAAGGTGTGGAATCTGACTTCCCATCGTGCCAGACCCACTGCACGCTCTGTAAAACATCAGAATCTGGCACTGAGGCCGAGATCTTCTTGATTAGCCTTTTCACGTCAGGGACCGCCTCAGAGACGTAGTCTTTAAAGCCTTGTATTGTGGCGGTGCTTCCCTGAATCTGGATGTCTACGGCGTGCTTTCTCTGGATGATGTCCACGTACTTCCTGTGCTGCTCCGACAAGTTCTTGAGACACCTGTGCTCCACTTTCTCCTCGCACTGCCTCAGCCCCACCTTCTTCCCCAGGGCGATGTCCACCCGGATGAGGTCGCAGCTGTAGCCCGCGAAGACTTGGATCTCGGCGGTGTGTGCCGCCTTGATGGCATCCTGGAGGGACATGTGAATGGCCTGCTCCAGCACCGGGTCTGCAGAGGGGGGTTCCCGCTTCACCATTTTCTTGGAAAGTTCCAGAACCTTCAGCAGCTCATCCTCTGCGTCCACGGCGTTGCTCTTGCTTTCCATGGAGTACTGGATGGCCAAGGAAAGCATGGCGTCCTCCTCGAGATCGCTGGGAGTCATGGCCGACTGCATGGAGAGCTGAGTGGCGTAGGTCAGCTCGTCTTCCACCACCAGCCCCTCCTGGGCCTGTCCCTCAGGGGCCGGCCGCAGTTCGTCCCCCTCCAGGACGGCACTGCCGTCGTCCTCCTGTCCTTCGTTGTCAGACAAGCTGGACGTTGCCTCACGGTCAGTGTACAAATCTTCTGTGGCCAGATCCATCCCTCTGCAGATCAAGCCAGGTGTGGGCACGGGCACGCCTGAGGTCTCGTCAATGACTGACATCAGCCTTTTGGCCTCTTCTAAAAGACCTGGATGCACACATGGAAATATTTAAACCGTAACAGTTTCTCATAACTAAAAAATTAAAATTTGACCAGTGTGGGTGTAACAAATTAACCTCGAGGAGCTGAAACCCCACATGACTGGTCATTAAAAACCAGGCCTGCACAGAAAACGTAGGTGTGCCAATTTCCTATACTTCATTTGTCATTTATACTTTCCCTGATGGTTAAAATAATTGTGAATTTCTTGCAGACCTTCAGTTTTTTACCTACAGTAAAAGATGCAATCAAACCTGTTCATGGGGTTTTAATTACAAATAAAAACCATTTAGTTTCAGAAAACTGAGAAACTTCAATTTCCCCCACTTTCCCTCCAGAAACGCCGGCAGTGCTTGGTGCTCACCCCTGTCAGGCCTGTTCAGGTCATTGGCGTTCACATCAGTGCTCAGCAAAGTCTGGGCCAGGGGGAGGGCAGTGGTGTCGCCACCCTCAGACTGGAACCTTTGAAAGTTTGGCTGCGACTCAAATTTCTTTGCAACCTCAAATATATCCTGAGGAAAACAAAAGAGCTCGTTCGTATCTGGTTTGTATCCAAATCTGGAAATCCACCAGAGAAAACAATGAAGAGAAAACCTCAAAAGCACAAAGAAAGCATTTTAAAAAGCACATTTTGTGCGTGTTCCGAGCTTCCCTCTTGCATAACGGAAAAGGGATTGGTCAGGACAAAGCCATTTAAGGTCTGCAGGTTTGCTAGAACCTTTTTTTTCCTCACACTGCTTGTCTGACTTTTTTTTAAGCTATATATTATTTAACTTGTTGTTGTTACTGCTGCTGTTCTCTGTTTATGTTTTTGGTGATTCCTTTAATGTTTTTGTTTGGGAGCATACATGCAAATAAGCATTTCATTGCACTTGTGCGTATGACAAATAAACTGAAGTCAACTGAACCCGACAGCTCAAGAGAGCTCCGTCACCTCTGAATCCAGCGGCTCCCAGTGAACTTTGTCCAGGCTGATGAAGACCTGGAATTTGGTCTTCATCTCTTCCAGGATCCGGGCCGCCTCCTCCTGCACAAGGAAGCGGGCCACTCCGGGGCGGTTCAGGACTATGGTCCGGGTGCAGACCGAAGACACCACGCTGCGGAGGAGCTCGTCTGCAATCTGGCAGGCATTCGCGTTGCCGTGGAGCTGCAAGCACGTTCGAACCCGCGTCAAATCACTCAGCATGTCAGGGAACAACATTCACTTTCAGCACACCTAATGCTAACCTTGACTGTTATTCTGTCATAAACAGAATCTGTCTTACAGTGTATATGATAATGATATATTTTGAATAGTTTACCATTTATATTATCTTAGAGTATAACCACTCTCTCTATCCCCCTATAGCTGTTCATAATGTCTTCAAAACAAAGAGCAGTGTTTAGAAAATAAAATTTGAACCAAAATTACTGAGTGTCTCATTGAAATTCAGAGAACACGTCATGCTCAGCATATGAACATTTGAAGCTTATGCTTCTGCTAAATATTAGAAAACTACATTCTCCTTCACTTCACTACATTCTCCATACACTTCAGAAGTATGTTCTGAAGTGTAAATGATTTCATTTCTCAGAAAAAAAGCCTTTTATTTTGGTTAAATCTCAATGTGAATCACACATTGCTGGGAAGTTATTTGGGATTTTTCGCACTAGTTCATCACGGAGATCCAAAACGCATACCCTCAGTCCAGTGACATCCTCCTCTTCCAGGGGAAATATGGTCACCTGGTCCATGTCAGCCAGCAGTGTATGACAGTGAGTCTGGATGTACTTGAGCATGCCAGGCTCCATAGCGATCACAGTCTCCACCTGAACGGGAGTGCTGAGAAATGCCACGATCCTGCTTTCCTTCTCTTCTTCCATCCCCCTCAGAGTCGTGACTTCAATCTGGTCTCCCCTGCTGGACACCCTGGCACAGCAGCACCCCAGGGAAAGCAGGAAGCTGGTCCACTCCTTGGAGTACAGCATACACTCGTACTCCGGAGCTACGGGGATCGTGAAGCTGCAGATCAAAGACTTGATCACACTGCTGGCCTGTTTAACCATGTCCAGGGACGGGGACACGACTGCGACGACGCAGTCCGATACGGTGTACTTGGCTAATAACCCTTCCTGCTTCAGGTTCTGCTTCAGCTTCTCCTTCACTTCCACCTTGGAAAGCAATGTGGCCTTTTGTTCATCACACGGTAAATGAGCCTGTGCAATACTGCTGAAGGACTCCAAGATCTGGTTTTTAAGCTGTTCGACTCCCAGCTGGCTGGGCCCAGTGATTTCAACTGCGTCATCAATTATCTGAATGTTAAAGTCACAGTGGCTGTTCTGAAGGTCCTGGAGGAGGTGGCTGTCCTGCAGCAGGCTGAGTTTCAGAGGGTCAGGCAGGGAGACGCAGCTGGAGCAGAGCTGAGGGCTGGGTGCACGTGCCTCCCCAGCCTGGTCAGCTGGTAGCACCTCTGGTGCTGATATGTCGCTGTGCGGGGTCTCCAGAGCATCACTTAGCAAAACCCCAGGAGCAGCTGTACCTGCCGGCCCAAGGCTGCTCGTCTGTGGATTTTCTGAGCTGTTGGAGTGAAAAACAGCGTCGCCATTCAATTGCACTTTTCCATTCTCACAAACTGGGGACGATGGTTTTTCCTTAGGCTGCAGGAAGTCGAAATACGGCCGGATTTTCAGTTCGTTGCCGTCCAGCATGTGGGACCTCTGAATAACACGGTTCACAGCTGGGAGGAACAAAAGCAAAGCAGATATTGTGAATTATTTGCATTTCCAACTGACAACCCAACCAAAACGAGCCCATTTGCAAAGGGTATACTTATCGACATTCTTCAATATACTATATCAAGTAGGATAGTGCAAGTAGGTAGCTGCGTCAGCATGCGTAGGCTGCAAAGGAACAAGTAATAGGTTTATTCCATGCTGAAAAGAGAAGAAAAGACAACATTTTGGCTGTGGGGTCTTCTTCAGGTGTGAGCCTTCTTCTTCATACCTGAAGAAGGCTCCACAGCCAAATCGATGTGTTTCTTTTTTTCTCTTTTCAGCATGGAATAAACCTTTACTTGTTCCCAAGTAGGATAGTATACAGTAGTTTTCCACTTAAAAGTTAAAAGCCATCAATTCATACAAAAGCCACGTCAGGGGTGTGTCCTAATAAACAGATTCTATTGTAGCGGTCTAGTCTTAAGGTCCCTCTACGGAGAAGGTGGAGATGCAAAAAGAGGAGCAGGAGACAGGAACGCAGCTCACTAATTTATTATCTCTAATAATACAGAGGAATGCTAGTCACTAGGGCAGAACAACAGGTAGTAAAAGCAGGGAAGGCTGCGGAGCCAACAGCTCTATCAGGAGTTTGGCACGAGAACAGGGGGAAGGGGGTCTCTGTTTATACAAGAGGGAAAAGAGGGAAAGTGAGTCCGCTGGAGTTGGTGGGCTAGGGGTCAAGTCCTCGGGCTTCTGGAGGCAATGCTACACTATTTAAATTTTATAGGTAATGATGCCACACCACTATCTACATTTCAATCTGTTTTCAAAGACAGATTTCACCCGCCCATTTAATATTCATATACCTTTGGTAACCACTTTGTCCAACACAGGGTCATGGTACACAAATACCTCATTTAAATTAGTCAGTTAACCAATAAGCAATACAGCCTCACCTTCATAGTCCTCAAAGGAGACTTTAGCTATTCCTTCTGTTAACATGCTGACGTCCTTCACCTCTTCACCTCCTCCACGCTTATTCTCGAAGTACAGTGTGAGCATATCTTCACTGGTAGTGGGGCGCAAGTTCTCTACCAGAATCGAATCGGTCTGCTCGATCAGCTCAGCACTAAGCTGTGCACCATCCAGGAGCTTTCTGCTGACTTTCCCCCACAAACTGCTAAACTCTGAAAATAAAGATCAGGATATCATCAAAATTCTACGAAAATTCTTAGCACAAAGGGGATGGGAGAGGGAGGCAAAGGAGGCCTGCAAACCTGTTTCCGAGAGAGGCCGCTGAAACTGGATTAGAGCTATGTCCCTCTCAGGAGACAGATATATGGTGTAATCTTCACTGCCCACCCCCGTCACATTTTCCACATAGAGCTCCAGGACTTCCATGGATATCTGAGGATTAATCCCACGCAGCAGCAACTTCCCACGATCCTTCGGAGCTGGTTTTCGGACAGTAAGCGTAGCATTTTGCAGGTTGTGTGGCCCTCGGCTTAAAACCCTGGCAGCAACTGTCAAGACAATCAATGAGATCAAATTAAGAGTTTTCCAAGTCTTACGGAAAAGGGCCCAAATCTGTTTTTAAGGAATCCTTAAATTCACCATGACTGGATTTATTTAAATATCAATGAGGAATCTCTAGACCAGGGGTCTCACAGTCAACACCTGGAGGGCCCAGTGTCTTCTGGCTAATGTTACACCTGAACTCTCAGCTACACAGCTGGTCACATGGTCACATTACAGAATACACGGCATAATGGTAATGCGACTGACCTGTTTTTAAGGTGTTTTCTAATAACTGTACCTTTATTGAACACCATATTTTGAATACTCAACTATAAAACGTCTAAACCTCACCCATAACGTCATGCAAAACTGTTAATTCAACAGGAATAAGAACAAAAGAATGTTCAGATCAGAACATATACATATAATTGTGGAGAAAATAACTATTCAATTAACTGTAAATGTAACTCCCTGATAGATATAACAATTACTCTCTTCACTGCCACCTAGACCTGCAAACACAAACCTGAGACATGACAAGATACATGAGCAGTATCTACTGCCTACTGAGATCAAAACATGACGTCTTAGCAGTGACAAGATTAGCACAGCCAGCTACAAAACAGCCTTTTGACGGAGTTATTACACTTCTATGTCTTAGATCGCAGCTTTTACTGCAGTCACCCATATTACATTCCTCACTCAAAAAGCATGCTGTGCTGACACACAGATCTCCTGGAAAGAACAATTAATATTGTTCCAAGTATTCAATGGATGAAAAATATGCAGCTCTACTTTACACTAAATCAGAAGTGGAACTGGAAGCTTCCTTACAGCCACAGACTCCCATCTTTGACCGAAGGAGAAATAACAAAAGCATAACTAACCCTTTCTAAAGAAAACCCTAAAATGTAACTGCTATAGTATTTATTGTTTCACCTGATGCATTTTAGATTATACTTTATGAACATGACAATGGGAAAACAAAATAAAGTTTTTCACCCTGCATCTTAGAAAGAACGTTTTTTTTTTCTTAATGCTCATCCAATGAAGAAGCACTGCAAGACAGTACATGTACTCGCAACTGCAATACACACAAATATATCCAGTATGTGTTTCTATATCCCACATAGGAGTGGCTCTTGCCGATTATGCTGTGGTCTCGCTGGCACAGTCCTACCTTCAGCATCTTCGAATACAAGCACAGCGGCATCACCCTTCCTGCGAAGGGAGGCGAGCGGTCCTCCCCCGGACCGCCGGGCATTTTCAAAATACAGCCCCAGGATCTCATCCTCCACAGAGGCGGGTATTCCAGACACCTCAACCGTCCTTTCTTCCACACCGCTATCAGTCATCCTGGGGAGGAGGAGGAGGATGGGTCAGCGAGCGAGGTTAAAGCAGAAAAGAGAGCGCAGGGGTGCAGTGCAGACCCTTGCTTTAGGAGACCGTCCAAAAGCCAGCGGCCATATCCCCCTGCAACTTGCAACTCGCAACCAGCAGACTGCTAAGGCTAAGCAAGTGTGAGCCCAGCCGGTACCTGGATGGGAGACCTCCAGGGAAAGTTAAGGTTGCTGCTGGAAGAGGTGTTAGTGGGGCCAGTAGGGGGCGCTCACCCTGCAGTCTGTGTGGGTTCTAATGCCCCAGTATAGTGAAGGGGACACTCTACTGTATAAAAGGTGCCGTCCTTCAGATGAGACATAATACTGAGGTCCTGACTCTCTGTGGTCATTAAAAATCCCAGGGTGTTTCTTGACAAAAGTAGGAGTGTTAACACCAGTGTCCAGGCCAAATTTCCCCCTGGTGTTTTCCAGTCATGGCCTCCTGATTATCCCCATTTATGAACTGGCTTCATCAATGATCACTGTTCTCCTCCTCACTGATAGCTGCTATCAGCACTATGGCTGCCGTCGCATCATCCAGGTGGGGGCTGCACATTGGTGGTGGTGGAGGGGAGTCCCCATTACCTGTAACATGCTTTGAGTGGAGTGTCCAGAAAAGCACTATATACAGTAAGTGTAAGCAATATTAATCATTATTAAAACGAGAACAAAAACAAAGTTGGATGAGGGGTCCTTCTCTTTCTAGCATAACTTTAGCATCAAAAGAAATGGTCATGTATTTAGAAAAATAAAGCATACAGATATTGATTTGGGATATTGATTTTTTAAAACATATTAGCACTAGCAGCCACCGTTATGCAATGGAAACCATGCTGTAGTAAAACAATGTTTCGTGGGAAAAAGACTTAAATCACAAACCTTACAGAAGGGTTTCAACTACTGTAATTCTACTACTGTAAAAAATGCGTGCGTAAAATGCAGAAGGAGTTTGCGGGGAAAAGCATTACCTTTTGCAAAAAGGTAATACTCTTACCTTTTACAAAGGCTGATCGTTATTGATAAAACTGTTCCTAATTATATGTTCCTTGACTTGGTAAGACGCAGGTGTTTAACATTTTTGAGAAGGTTAGCAATCCCGATGAAATCCCGTTGTCTTTTTCACAACATTAAAGAAACAACGGTTCATAATCACAGCATTTAAATACGGATCTCCTTTCTGTCAAACATTTTCTAATTGTTTACTACATGTATTCACATGTACAGGACGAAATTAAGTTCACACCTCGCCATTTGCTCGTTTACCTGCAAGACCATGGCACAGGAAGGCAAGGAAAGAGAAGGGTCTTAAGAAAGGTCGGAGCGCTTATTCAGTGACAAGAATAACAACGCTGAATCTGGCTTGAAATTATTATATTAATAGCAATTTAGCCGACCTTTTTTGATTGCAGGCAGTTTCTGTTTACAACGCAGCTGATACACACGGGCAGCAGGATAGAAAGCGAAAGTACATACTAATAAGCATCAGGAATCATGGTAATTTTAATAGAACAACATACACCGATTTCATTGTGATAACATCCATAAATGACACTTTATACGTTTTGTAAAAACTGTTTTTAGGCTTCTTGCGCTTACCTAAACTTGCGTCATGACAGTAGGACACGGAAATGTTTCTGCGCGCCTACTTCCTGGTGTAGAGCCTCGCGCTGAGCCCGCGGCTGCCGGGTGTCAGTATGAGATCAGCGACGAGCTGCGGCCCTCTAACGTAGCAATGTAATCGGTCAGGTGTCACAGGTCACTGCAAGGCGCCACACAAGAATCCCTGCGTCATTATCAGAAACCGAAAGCCTCTTTTTTGCTCAATGCAAGCAGCTCCCCGCCTCCCACCCTTCTTCAGCTTGTTGCACACGGTGTACATTTCATAAATCTAACAGTGACATTACATACATGTAAGTGACGGTGACACTGTACCCTTTGGGTTGGAACACAATTTCTGTCTTGATTCACAAATTGTGAAATGAAGTGAAGCATGATTTAAGACACAGTTTTACACCACATCTTTTTGGCATGGAGCTTCTGAGGTTCTTGTCCAGGTTCAGGGGCTGGGGTGCTTTTAGTGCAGATGTCCAGAGTTTTTTTAAGGAGGATTTTTCAAAAAGTTTGAAAACACCCGAATGTCAAACAGCTGTCAATAATTATTCTGGAATCCATTCACCTCCGTTCTTTTACATTAACCAGGTTATGGTAAAATGCAAAAGTTAAAATTTAATTTGTTAAGCATCTAATACTTTTTGAGTATTAATGTAGAACTTCATTTATAAATAGACTAATTTACTTTAAACATAAGGAAAAGAAGCTTTGCCTGAGTCTTGAGAAGCGATTTATAAGACAGACAGTCAGGGACCTAAAGTACATCTTAATTCATATCTGTGTTGACACAAAACATAACATAACATTAACATTTATGGATTGAATAATGTTTCCTACTGAAAGTTCAAACAAAAGTCACACTGTAAACTTAATAGCATTGCACAGAGAAAAGTCATCTTTCTCCTTCTTCCAGACAGAATTCCTCTTGCTCCTTATGAGCCTCTGGCTCCTCTTTGTGCACAGTCTCCTTCAGCTTCAAGCACAAACGTGTGATTAGATTGACATCTGGAGTTTGAAATGGCCAGTCGAGAACATTTAGCGCTCCGGTCACCACTGTTTTGTCAATCTGAATGCATGCTTTGACCATTGCCATAACGGAATGTCGGTTTTCAACAAAGTGCGAGCTTCTTCGCAAAGCAAGCCAGGCTGTGACCAGAACACACGGATAGTCCTTGGCGTTCCCAGTTTCCATTATCTTAACAAGGACTTCGCTGCCCCAGAACGACTCCAAACACAATGTATGCCAGTGTGTGATGGAGATCTCCAGCTGCTGCCTCTGGATTTACAGAGTCTTGAACTCTTGTCTCTGGCTGTCTCAGCCTATGGTTGAAAGACACATTTGCATGCTGTACCTGGGAATGGTTACCATTATACCATTAGCTTTAAACTTCCTAATAATGGACACTGCAGTAAAAAGCTTTTTGTGGCTTTTTTTTAAAGCCATCCCCCAATTTACAGAAATTAATGACCATTTGCCTGCAGTCTTAGACGAGTTATGTCTTAGGTGAATCTTAACCATATAACCATATAACCATATAACCATATAACCATATAACCATATAACCATATAACCATATAACCATATAACCATATACTACTGAATGTTCTACACCTTACCTCCTTTCAAACTCTGGGGAAACATGAACCTATCTGTGGTTTTTATATAGTTCCAGAGGTTTCTATAGCGCTTCCAAATTGCAGAAAGTTAATACAGATATATTTTTCCTTGGAGTTTACTCAAAGGAAAACCTAAAGGGTTGTATTGATGTGACCCCTTTTCGTCTGCGAGACATCAATAGAATTAATGCCAGAGTCGCGCATTTATTAAGGTAACAATACATTAATTTTATAAAGCATACATTCTTATCACCAGTTAAAGTTCCTGTAACAGCATCTGTTTTGGAAACACACGGATGCCGCCTCTGTTTCCGTTTCCAGCCCAGAGACCCGCTTCCGCTGAAGGCTGTGGTTTGTTGTTTTAACGTCGTTTTGGAAATACTACCCGTTTCGGTGAAGTGAACAAGCGTAAAACCCGTATAAGGTGTGGAATACGTTTTCAATTAGTGTTTGATTTTCTGTAAATGAGTGCGAGGATTCTGACTCGTACAGGATCACATTTTATACAGTGCTATAGAAATGAATGAAGCTGTTGTGTTGCTTTGCATAAAATAATACACAAGCGAATTGCGACAGTGCTGCAAATAAAGGAGTGATAACGCGCACTGGAACAGGTACTTAAAAGTAAATTAATTCATGACATTTACTGCTTATGCCAATCATATAGTATAGGATTATGTCATATTGTGTTTTATTTTCCTGAAAACGTCTGCAAGGGTTTCTTAAGTTATAAGTAATAATAGCGTATAAAGATATCTATGAGTTTACGATTTGAGTGGTGAGATTATAAAACCACGGCGTTTCTCAGCAGATCTGGAATGGATTACTCCAGATCATTCAACTATGAAGAACGATCTGACTATATCGAGTGTAAGGTGAGTATTAATGTATTTCCAAA